CACTTAGAGCTCACCCCCGGCATCGAGGAATACGTTTAAGCAAGGAGATTACTTGCACAGCATAAAGGTAGAATGGCAGGTACTCCTGTACAAAATTCTTTTAAGCAAGGTGGGAAGTAACCTCTATCGCACATCTGCAGGAATATATCCTCCTCATAAAAAACAAACAGAAGGGAAACGCATGGGAAGGACATAAGTGCAATTGTGTTTGACTCTGAAATCCTGGCAGGAAAATACAAATAGACATATCTGAACCCGTTGTGGTATGAAGGAATAATCAGGGAATGACTATGAATAAAAGATATATATCAATTAAGAAAATCATGGGCACGGCTACTAAAAATATTTTATACTCCTTGTTCACATTTCCCCAGCATGAACTACTATGGTGCTACGATACTATAATACTATGATAAAATACGGTATCCTTCTATCCCTTGCTTTCATTTTTTCTCTCCTCCAAGTTCTCAACGTTGTTCTCTAGTTATAAAATTATATTTTTTTAGTCACTTAAAGTAAGAGAGAAAGGGGGAAAAAAATCTTCTTTCACCTTTACAATGCATGACACCTCCGCACCGATGTAACTTCATTAGGAATTACTCTACCAAACGTGGTCCCAGGCCACCCTACTATGGCACCTATTTATTTATTCATTTTGAATAGAGCCGGCTATTAGGGCACATTTTGGTTCCAATGGATCATACGACAATAAGAATTTGTAAATCACCGCCAGCGATCAAAAAAAGAAGGAAAAAGCATTCTAAGTATTTTCCACTAATAACTGCGACTACTGTTAACCGTACACCAATCAAAACCAAATCTGCCTCTGCATCGGAACCAATTCCCCGCATTTTACTCTCTGACCGTTTAGAACTCTGCAGCTAAACTGGTTGGGGAACTGCTCTAGGAGTAATAGTTGGCATGGTACAGTACATCGGCCCTTGCGCACCCCCCAAGTACTGTACTTGCGCCGGTATTTTGCATGGGAATAGACTTTCTTGGCTCTTTTCTCCACTTCAACTTTACGATATTGCTTGTCAAGGCAGCTAACAACTCTTCAGCAACCTCCAGATTCTTGGTGAGATATTTTAAAGGCATCTGGACCACGCTATCAATTTCGAAAGGGTCATACAGCTTTGAAGTGTATGGAACGGAAAGTGCCAAGTAGCGTTAGTACAGTACCCCGTTTAAATCACCACCCAACTCATTCTTATCTAATGTAGGCCCATCCAGCACTTCACCTTTAGAGGGGGGGGCAACGATGCAGGGAAGACTCATGCAGGGAGGACTCATAAGTTAAGTGGATATAAGTGCAAATTTCCTTATCTCCACCTCGACCTAGGCTCAGCTCTCCCGCCTTGCTCAAACCACCGTGAACTCTTCCTCCTCCCTGCCAAATCCCCGCCCCGTGTATCTCGCCGTGGACCCGTAGGGAATACGGAGATCCCCTCCACCATACTGTACCTGTGGTACAAACATCTCTTTCCTTTACGCCGGTGGTCGAAAACTTTCTTCGTTCGTCCGTCCTCCACAGATTTATGCCACCTCCAGCTTAGGCGATCGCATCACCCCCATGCTTTTTTCTCGTCCCTTCTCACTCTCATCCGGGTTCCCGGTGATTTATCTGCGTCTCTCGTTTTCGATACATTAAAAAACCTCAAGTGTCACCTGTCCCCGCGCATCAGTTACTCCTCGTGCACTCCTAGTACCGGTACCAGCTCCAGACCTTAGTCCTCACCCAGCAAGGAACCGCGCCCCTCCCCTTTGTCTTGCGCTCGGGCAACTGTTAATCTGCACCCCGCCAGAGAAAATAGTCACACCGGTCTCATGATTAATCACCTGCGGACCCCTTGATCAATTCTCCCACATCACGAACAGAGGAACTTTGATAAACAAAATAAATAGATAATAGCCGCTTCATGGCAGCCGCCCACCGAGACCACACATTCGAATAACCGACTATTCCCCTCCCCTCATCCATTAAGGTACTCGAAATAAAACAGGCCATACGAAACAGAGACGAGGTATCATTATCGGGCACATAAGCCGCAGAGCACGAGAAATTCAGAAACCTAACGCATATAATGATCCCACTAACCCCGTAATGAAATAATCCTCGACAACAGGAGCCCGAAAAAACGCCCTTGATGTCCAACATTTCCCGTCTGCTACCGCGAAATAACCGATGCCGAAACTTGGCAAAGACGAAAAAAGGCGAAGGGCGAATAAAGGGATGGACGCAGGTGAAAGGAGAGAGGAAATTTTCAAGCCTAACGGCACGGTAATATCTGTTCACCCGTCAACGATAGGCCACGAGCGCACATAACACTCCACTCACACTAGAAGGCCCAGCCAAAGTTGGTATTCTTCTTCAAGATCAATTTGATATCCTCATCATCACCTTCCCCTTCGTCATCGAGAACAATCCTTTCCTCCGGCCATGTCCGTTGCGGGTAAACTATCCTCCTGGCCTGCTCGTACAGTAAATTCGTAGTCTTCTCATCCAACTCGGAGAATGGCCTGGCAAACTGCTCAACAACACTATCCTGCTTCGGCGTCTGCGCCTCCTCAACCTCAGGCGATTCGGCTTCGGTGGGCTTGGTCGGCACGTCGACCGGAGGGGGAGGCTCCGCACCCGGAATGGGACCGGTAACGGGCGGCGGGGGGGAAGTGATGACGGCGACACTATCCATTTCATGGTCCTTGTCCCCCCCCTTATCCCGGGGATCGCCACCCGATGCGGAAGCCCTCACCCTTTCCAGCTCCTCGCGTAGCGACTTTATCGTCGACTCGAACTTTGCGAGCTTCTCGAGGTAGAATTGTCGCTCGGATAGCCATAGGGTTCGCTCGAGCTCCATCCCCTCCCGCTCGTGCGAGAGGAGTTTCTGGTACTGGTCGTGGATGGCCTCGTAAGCACCGCCCTCCGTCGCGGGGTCTCCGGTGTGGAAGGAGAAGGTGTGGGGGCGGCTCCGGGGCGGTGGGGGTTGCTGCAGAGCGAATGCGGGGAGGGGCGGTTGAGAGAGGAAGGCGAGGGGGGGAGAACGTGCGCGGGCCATTCTGGTGATTGCGATTGTGAAATTATTACTGTTTTTCTATGGTTCTCGCTTGGCGGGTCGGTGGTAAGAGTAGGCTCTCGCACAGTACTTGTACAGCACAATGTAAGCTTCCAGAAACCTCGGATGGGGAAGAGACACTTTATCTCTGACGTTGCGCAGGAAAGGTTAAAGTTTTGGTGAGAAGGAAAAGGTGGAGAAATAGGGTTTCTCTTATTTCCACTAGTGTCATATTATCGTTATTATTATTATTATTAAGGTCGTATCCTCGATCACTCTAATATTATCTGTTCTCCCCTTTCAGGGCTTAGCCTGACTCATGATTCGATTCGACTTTTCAATTTTTCCCTCTTTTGTCCGCGCTCCCCTTCGTTTTGGGATATTCTCCTCCTGCGGAGTTCGTCGAAACACGGGGGAAAAAGCGGACCGACCGAGCTAGCCGTTTCAGCGAGAAAAGGCTGAAACCTGCATAGATCAAGGCAGTTCACCCGGTCGATGGAGGGCGACGGATCGTGAATGCGAAGGGTCCGATGGATGTGTCCGTCCACCACTCTCTGGAGACTCACGCGACGAGGTGCTTGATTGCGATCACTGTAATACAAGTGCCAGGTATGATACCCTGCCATGTACTGTACCGTGCGAGTACTGTACAGTACACAACAAGCATGGTCCCGGCATCTCAGAACATAACTTACCCCCGTGCTAACGTTGACGGATATTTCAACTTGCGAAAACACCTCCCACAAATGGGGATTTTCTAATTGGTTATTAGAAATATTTACTGTGCGATTTTCTTCCCGGTACTCCCGCAGGGGGGGGCTCCAGATTTTGTATGGGAAGGGGGATACTGAGACCTGGATGGGAAAAAAAGGTTTCTGCTGAATAATTAGCCAACAGACTTCCTAATTAGGAATAGTCGAATGCTGTATCAGGACTACAGAGCGTTCGTGATTCGCCGCGATACTCAGAGCACGGTAGGTTCTCAGGTGCCGGCACCATGCCCGGGGAGAAAGAAGCCTCTGCACCGTACTCGCCACAAATCAGGGACTATCTTGCGGGCGAACCCAAACAACTGCTCACCAAACCCGCATCGTGAGTACAGTACTGCGCTCTCTACCCGTACTTGCAACCCATTTCATGCTAAAGTGGCCGATCCTCCCCACGCTCCACGAGGGGAAATTAGCGCACGGCGCAGAAGGTAGAGGTCTCTCGGATATATCGTGGAGAGCGGTACTCGAGTACCCGCATGGTAGCGTAGTATTACCCGGGCGGCCCCTCCCACTCGATCAAGATGTCTTGAGTAACCTGTGAGCTCCGCATAATGTCGTACTCGTATCAAAGACAACCCCGCACTCCCCTTCCCGTGATGCCATGTTTCTCACACGATTCCCCCCAAGTAATCGTGTGGACAAGCACCATCTCTGCCTCTCTCTTTTCAGTGTGGAAGTGTCTCTGCTGACTTCCAGGATTCGGGTGGTGTGTTTGACCAATCTGGCGCCTGTGTGAAAGGTGATCCATGACCATGCCATACACCATAGGACAGGCGAAACAGCAGCAGTCTAGCACGGTACAGAGATGAATGAATGTACATGCAGTCTACGGTAGACATTGTCTGATTGTTTGCCGATATGAGCCGTTTGCCCTCCCCCGGGCCCTATTATACCGTTTGGAGGTGGGGTTGGGTGTGGGTCCCTCTCCACTCCAGAACAGGAAGGGAAAGAGCCTATGATACATAACTTAGCTATACAGGAAATAATAAGTGCCAAGACACCCACAAATGCAATCGCAGCCCAGCAAACCCATCCTTCCACGCCTGTCCGAGCACAGCCGACAACTGAATGACGAATGATGCCGAGGCTGTCATCGCAGATGCAGAGGTGCAGCCAGAAAACCCTGGGCTCAGTGCTCGCGCCGTAGCGTAGATCATCGTTGAGGACGGTCAACAGTGGAGGGGATGACAGACAGCACTATCGGGAAGACCTCACTGGTCCCCCCACCCACGGCGAAGGAGCGCTGCATCACACCACTGGCATGAGACAGCAGGCATCATATCATGGTGATGGTGAAATTAGAGTTCTTACTTGTGCGGCCGCCCGCGCTGGACCCCAGAGTAAATTTCAGACCAATATTCCGTATGTCCCTGTCTCTATCCACCAAACCTCGCTTACAGTACATGTACGAGTACACAAGTTATCCTGTCCCACCAGTCAACCGCCGCCGCACTCCTACTCGAGTACGAGTACTGTACGTACACAGATCATGAACAAGAGCAAATTCAATTCAACTTCCCCGAATACCCGAGCCTGCAAACCATTAACCCTTGCACTCTGCACCCGGCAACTTTGGCAGGAACCTGTTACATAACCAACCACCCAACACCCCGATCATGAGAACTAAACCCTAACCCACTCGCCGGTCAACCGAATAAGGAAAGTTCGAGAAAATTCTCCAACCCCCTAACCCCGCCTAGAATCTTCCAGCAACATCAACAATCACTCGTGATCCCCCGATCCGCGCCATCCGGCCATACCGAGTCAGGTGAGGATGACGACAGCCGGACGCGAACACACGCGGAGCTCGAGGGTGCTCGAAGTTTCGAGGTTTTTTCTAAGCATTGACAGGATTGCGTACGGTACAGTACCAGCGCTCCTTCGATTCTCTTGAGGGCCAGGATTGAAGATATAAACCCCCTCGACCTCCTCAGGTCTAGACATCCGAAGCTCAAACCTCGAACAACCCAACACATCTCCACATCTCATTAGAACTCCCCAAACACCCCCTCAAAAAGCTCCCCTCGAAAACACGCGAACCGGCACAAAATGTCGCTCCTAAGACAATACTCTGACATCTTCAGTCTCCTCGACGAGACGGCTCGCACATCCCAGCACTCCAACCGCCGTGGCACCTTCTCCCCGAGCTTTGACGTTCACGAAACCGAAAAGGCCTACATCCTCGAAGGCGAACTCCCGGGACTCCACGACAAGTCGAACCTAAGCATCGAATTCACTGACCCTCAGACACTCCTCGTCCGCGGCAAGACCGAGCGCATGCACCGGGAGTCCTCGGATGGTGACGAGTCCACCGTCACCAAGAAGGACAAGGAGGTCCAGCGGGAAGACAAGGGCAGCACCGAGGAGGAGAAGAAGGATAAAGATTCCAAGCCCCGCTATTGGGTTTCGGAGCGCACGGTCGGCGAGTTCCAGCGTAGCTTTTCATTCCCGAGTTATGTTGATGTGGACGCTGTCAAGGCTAGCCTTACGCACGGGATTTTGAAGATTGTGGTGCCGAAGAAGCAGAGTCAGATTGCCAAGAGGATTGAGATTTCCTAATTCACGTCTGGAGAGAGAATGTGGTTCGGAATTGAGCTCGGGATGGTGGTGGATTGATTGTTATGCGTTTCCCTTTTTCTCTTTCTTTTTCTTCTCCATTTCCTTCCTGCCCAATGATTCTGACGATTTTTACGATCGGCACAATCCTTGATAGTCGCTCCTTGGGTTCCCTGTGGGTTTGGCAGTACATTCAGTTTAGTGCAGGATACACTCGTTAGGTGGCCCCGTTATTAACTGGTGTCTATCCTCTGTTTTCCAGTTATTTCCCTACCTGCCTGCTACTAAATTCCCGATATTACACAAAAAAAGCCCCTATCCACATGCATTCATGCGCTGTGATTACTCGGTATTTTTCATATCCTGTCACTCTTTCCAAACCGGTACTTGGTCTCAAGTGTTCTTAATCAATCTTAACACATCCGTCAATTACAAAATAGATGCCCCGCGCTTAATAACTTGGACAAAACCGAGTGAATCTCTGTGAGGCCAGTATTGTGCCGCCTTTCAGGAATTAGCAATGTGTCCACGAAAAAAAAAACATTGTGGTTTTGTGTTCTAGACTTGCACCTGTCCCGTGGCGGTGAAGGGGCAGCCGTCGATCACGCACAAGGTTCTGTTCCGGTGGAGTCTAGATATCCAACTTCTCTACGGCATGTTCTGTGCGGGTTACATCCCATCCAGAACACACTTGCTCGGGAGCTCCGCTCCTCATAAGATGCGTGCCGGGGAAAGTTATCCCACTACTAGGTTTTCCCACTATCGTGTTTGCAGCCCGCCCATCTAAACGGAGCTCCAACAGAAGGCATCTCAAGCATCTGGTATCGTAGAAATTCTCACGCCTTACCTAGCCAAGCCAACCCCCAACCATCACGCCTCACCAACGCATTTGCTTCCATGGCACGGATATACACTCACTCACTCACTCACACCCACCCACCGACTACCATTTTCTTGCTTTCCCTTAATAGCCAGACTAAGCCCTCGCATCAGAGCACGGAACGAAAAAAGAAACCGAAAATCCCAAGCGCCAAGGGGCCACTCATGACCTCACCTTCACTCCACGGGACACAGAATCCGACATAGGATGGCACCGCGGAGAGCGAGAGCCGTCGCCGCATTCATACATATACACCCTTTCACTTTAAATTTACGGGAGGGGCGCAGTACCACAAGAGCACAGTACTGTACAGTAGACTATCATATCATACCAACAAGTATTTTACGCACGGGGTGGGGTGAGGGGGGTGAGGATGGGGGGGGGGGGAACGCCAACGTCACGGGGAACCTTTTTATATAATACCCGGGTTATTTTTGGGGCTACATAAAAATTGTGCTTTTTGGGGTCAACATGTGAAGACAAGTTGCGTGCCTGCCTGCTCAGGGAAGGGATTCCTAGATTGAGCATTGAGATTTCGGCCTGAATCCTGTCAGAGGATTATTATTATTATTATTATTTTTTGCTCGTAAGTCGGGGGGGGGGGCTCGAAGCGGAAAGTGGTACTGTACTGTACAAGTACATATATAATTACGGTATCCGAGCAGTATTTATTTTAGATTTATTGTGGCGAGTTTAGTTATTGCCGGTCCGTCGAGATGGTTGAATTGGAAAAACACCATGTACGATACGATAAATTTAAAGTTGAGCGGGTGCCGGGGATAAGGAGGTTCATGGAGGGAGGATTACCAAAGTGTAAAAAAAAAAAAAAAAAAAAAACAAACAACAACAAACGGCAGGAGGCGAATGGTTAGGGGAATATCATATGGTGGGTTAAATTTTGCAGCAATTAAGAAAATAGCTCATACCATACGAGCACAGTAGTCTACAGTACTCGTACGCCGTCGAGCTCCCTTTCCCCATATCCACACAACATTATCGTACCACTCCCAATCCGATCCACGCGCTCAAACACAAATAGCACACTCGAGCAGCCTATCCACAACCTCACCATCGTCGCCACCGCCGCCGAATCCATACGACCGAACCAAACCCCCATCACCCGCATCAGATTCTTGTCCCCATTCGCCGCAACAAGCCCAATCCCCTCCACCCCCCAACACATACAGGAGGAAACCAAATATGCCCCGAAACAGCAACTTCTTCCCCCTCCAAAAAACGCACAAAAATAGACCCTAATATAGTATTTCATACCGTATTACTCCATCGCCGCACAAAAATAACCAAATGTGCAGGTTGTGGCGGCTAAAGGAGCAGGTGAGTAACCCTAACCCTGTGAAAATGGCGGCTGGAGGGTTGCTCGTTGCCGCGGTAACGGGGTGGTAGGGGTACCTGCCCTCCACCCCCAAGAAAGACACCACAGATATCATACAATGATAACACTCGAGCACCGGTCCTCCAGTTCGTTATTCGAGTGGGCTGATTGCGGGCTCTTTGAGAGGGCATGGGTTGGTGGCGGCCCGGTCGGGGTGAATTGGTACAGGAGGGTACCCACGGCGGATGATTGGAGGCATGGCTGATTTTCATGGAACAATGTGCTGGTACGAGTACCGCACTGTACAGGTACTCGAGCACAGTACTGTACTGTACTGTACATGTACAGGTGTGGCACGGTACTGTACTAGTACCGCTACTTGTTCGATTCACACGCTGCACCCGCTCGGTTCCTTCATTCACAAACCCCGCCGTTTACCCGGCTTGAACAGCGTACCGTATCAGATCGACAGTCCTGACTGGGCAAGTTTGGATATGGAGCTCGCCAGGGAGAAGGAGTGATGAATAGGGAGGTAATGTGGGCCCAAATCACAATACTTGAGCACTATTTGATACTACACGCTACGGTAGCACCGTGGATTATGGTGCTACCTGTACGAGTACAGAGAATGAAACGGAATTGTCACACCGACCGCTGCAGTTCCATCGACCTTTTGAGCCAGGGCACCTCAAACCAAGTCAATGTCATCACCCCAGGTTATCATGGCACGGAACAAGTAGCCCCTTTTTTATTCTCATTTCCATTATTCATTCTTTCTTCCTCTCGTCATCCTAGTCTTGATCTATAGACATAAAATTAATGCGATGCATCCATCAAACGAATAAAGTCCTCCCAACTCCTGCTTAAGACGGGACGGACATAAAACGAAACCACCGACAAAACATGAAGTGACACAAAAACCATAAAGCGTTAAAATGCGGGAGACAGAAAACACAGGTGGAACTTGTGCAAAACAAATGCGGTAGGTGTAATATCCTGCATCAAACAAAGATTAAAGGGATATTGCCCAAGAGGATGGCCGTTTCTCTCTCAATATCGTCAAGATATTAGTAGATATTAGTTTCCAGCTCCAATGAAAAAAAGGAGACTCCTGACTCTATTGCCCCTTCCCGCCTGCCAGGGCCGAAGATTAAAATATAAAAGTAAAAGTAGTGTATGATAAGACAAACTCCTCAAAACAAAAACGCCTCTAGCCTTTCCGCCCAACCGCCCCCAAACTCCTGTGAAACGAACTTTTATAAAAAAAAAAGAGACGTGAAAAGAAATGATAAAGTAGGAAATCGTTGTTGAGTGTAGACGCCCTCTACATCCTGAGTCTGCGTTCGAGCTCGTAAGCCAATTGTCCGCCATGACCAGCCTTGGCTGGGTGGTAGCTGGCTCTTCTCGAAATTCTGACGCGCCGGTATTGCTCATGTTCGTCCTGGTAGCTCTCCTCAGAGCAGCAGCTCTCACCCTCACTCTCGCACCCGGACTCGAATCCACCGCAGTGGCAGATGGGTGTGGTTGGTGAGTCCTCCGAAAACACTGTGGAACCGGAGGAGCATGAAGAGCAGAATGATCCCAGGGACGATGCGGAGCGGGATGAAGATGCCGAAATGGGAGAGTCACCGGCAGTTGTGGCAGCAGTAGTGATCATAGAGATTGGTCGGCATGAAGTGTCAAGGGTCAACTTGTGCTGGGTAAGAGGATTGCGAGGGACTGGTTGGACAATGTGAGAAGCTGGGCGTGCTGGAGGAGGGGAATTGCGACGGCGGTGTGAGTGCGAGCTGGGGGGAAGCGCACTCGATCCTCGGAGGACGGGGTCCGAGATTGCTGGTCGAGAACGATAGCTCTTGCCCGAAGATGCAGAGACAGGAGAGACGGACGAGGAAGGGGATGGGAAGCGAGAGCTGTGCGAGCTAGACGAGGACCAAGAGCTGGCACTCGAAGGAGTAGGGGAGGTAGCTGCGCCACAGTCAAGGATATTGAGGGTGATTCCACGCGTGGGTTCCTTGCAAGTGGGCCTGTTGGGATCATGGGACTCAAAGTATCCGTCAAGGACATACTGCAAAGCCAGTTAGCGGGATTTGCTCATCTAATCAGGACAGAGAAGAGATATCGATAAGTTATACTCAAGGAAAAATGAAAAGAAAAGAAAAAGGAAAAGAAAAAGAGAAAGAAGAGAAAAAGGTCGAGCCATCCGCAGGCGAACGGAGCAGGGAGGGAGGGATTTTTTTTGAAATGAAAAAAATAAAAATAACGAAAAGGTTAATGATGTGACACGATGAAAAATGGTTGCATACGTAGTACCAAAATCTCTGCACTCCCGAGGTGGGGAACTTGAGGGTCAATTTCCACCATCCTGCACCGGCGGCGGTGTCGGCGGCCATGGTGTATCGCTTCCCATAGTTATCCCAAGAGCCGACAAGATGACACGACTCGATGTGAGCGGGGGTTCGGAGCTTGAAGGTGGTTCCAGCTGGTGAACGAGACATTATTGTAAAGTGTTTGTCGGTGGGAACGATTAAGTGTAGTAATTAAGATTGTATGGATGACAAGGTCGAAAAAAAGGTTCAAAGTGGTACCCGGTAGCGGTAGCGAATTATCGGGCAGGCTATCAAAGACTGCTGTAAAGACCCGAATATGTGGGGATGGTGAAGTATAGAAGAAAAAAGTCGTAGTTTCCGATCAGAGAGTTAAAAACTGGAAATTGACGATCCTGACTGTCAAAGTCGCGAAACGATCGAAACAAAAAAATTAGGAAGGGGGGAGAAATCAAGAAGTGGCTATGGAGGGCTCGCTTGCTTGAGATACTCGATGTTATCGGAGGATGATGATGATGTATTGGAACGAAGAAGACATCTAGAGGTCGGGAGGATGGGGCTTTTATCATCTGCATCAGGGGAGAGAAAGAAGGAGAGAGGGTGTGGGTGTGAGTGTGTGGTGGATGTGTGGATGAGTCGGTGACAGAGTGATGGGATTGGGTGGAAGCGAGACAATCCGCGCTTGTGTGGGATGGGTGTGTGTGAGAGGGTGTGTGGGTGGGGGAGAGAGGGTGTGTGTGTGCCTGTGCGAGCCTTGACGCTCGGCATGCGGTTGCTAGCTGCGCGTCGGAGGCTATTGTTTGTGCCACCCTGTTCTGTTGGCTTGCTCGTGAGAGCCCCTTCTGCCCAATCCCGGCCAAGACGGCGCGGAGAGAGAGGAGCAAAACCAACGATATCATACGGCACTGTACTCGAGTACTGTATGATACCCCGGCTCTCAGTTCCCTGCGGCTTCCCCCCATGGGCCCATCATGGTTGCACTTTTGGCGAACAAACATGTTCACTTTCATCACTTGGCTACCCCACGGGAGAATTGTTGGACGACGGGCAGCGGGCAACTCTACTCGGCAGATCCTCCCACCGTGCTGTGCTCTACCCGGGTTGGTACGATACTCGGGTACGGCTGTCCAAGTTCCCTCCCCTCACCTAAAGATGGTGTATCTTCACGCTCGTACCGGGACTAGGAATTGCCGGCTGCATCATACCGTACAGTACAGCGCTGGAGCATGTACCGTACCGTATCGTATCGTATCGTATCGTAACGAGACAGCGCGCGTAAGCGTGGGAACGAGAGCAGCCTCGGGTCTCACACGCCCTCTCAAGCCTAGCAGGCCTTGGCCCTGGCCAGATTCTCGCACAAATGGCATCCTTGTAGACTGCCTTCTGCCGCACTCTTCCCTGTTGTGCTCCCATCGCATCGCATACGGTACGGTGGTCATCTCATGTCCGCGAGTCTCCCCTTGCCCCTCTCTCTGCAGCCCCATCGGCAAGGGTGAAGGCTGTTTGAGTCCGAGTGAAGGTCTGCAGATGCATACCGTCTAGCCCCTTCGTTCTTGGAGTGGGATCATGCTCCAAGTATCATGCCGATAGCCTTCACTTGGCTCCCATGCGTGTGGCTCAAGTCGCTGTTGCTTGAGTACAATAGGCACGCCACATCCTAATCCATTTACCAATAAAATATTAGATACCCAATGCGCAGAAGCCCCCGCTCCGTTCCTTCGCTTCACCACATAAACCCGCATCACAACCCCCAGGCAAAATATGTCCTGTCCGTCTCGCTTCCCCTCCTTTCCTCGGCCGTCTTGATTGTCTCTGCTGGATATTGCTCTCGTGAGTGATGCTTGGCGAGCCATACCCCTGTCCCCAGTCATCGCCCACATGCAGTATCATAGGCGCGCACCCTGAAACACCTCGGAAAGCCCCTGAAAGTGTGAAACCGAACCATCCATCCCAGCTTTTCCTCTCTGGGCGGCACGCACTCCGGACACCTCCTGATGTGCCGGATGATCGGTTGGCGCTTGTTTGAGGATTTCTCCGATGGCTCAACTCTCCCTTCTTGACATCTTCCCTAACTTCCCTGCCTGCCTTAACGCCGAATAGCCCTGTGCGGATCCCCCTTGAAACTCTCGGCACTGTGCTTCTGCCCTCCTCTCCACCAAACCGGCCTCTCGGCTGTGTATCAGATCACGCCAAAGACCATGCCCGGGGTCCTCCCCGCCCTGTTCCGTAGGGGTGATGAAATGGCGTCATGACACCATCTAACTTATGGTCCATCATAGTTCCCCAAAACGAAGACTGGGCGATACGAACTCAACCGGGGTGGATAGCGGGTTTCCGCTCTGCTATCTCATTGTTGTACAAGCTCTTTCTAGCATACGTCGAGGAACTTGGCACATCAAACCCTTCTAGAGATTCTCTTCACCCGTGGCCTTTTCCCACCCCAGTCTGTTGCGTTCGCCATTCCTTTGCTCGGCAGGAGAACCACTTGGTCATTTTCCAACCAACCATCACTGTTTATCGACGTTTCCACGCTTTATACATACGGTGTTCACTTTTCTTCTTCCATTTCCAAGCACTTTCCTTATCTCCTCCGACCTCCTGTTCCCGCTACAATCCGGTTTCCTCACCATACTCAACCCTTCCCGCACCACATAATCCCCCATTCTGCCCATCCAACCTGCTGGTCTCTCCCCCCCCTTCTGCTCACACTTATCCGTTATCCTTGTACCGTGGAGAGAAATAAGCTCTAAATCATCATGGCTCCTGCACACGCAGTGTAACCCCCACCCGTTTCAGAGTAATCCCTCCTCCCTGGCCACTTGTTACACGCAAAAATCATCCGAACACTGGACTTTGAATCTTGTATGGGAATACCGGTACCGACGTGCACGGATAATTTGCCATGTACTGTACAGTACATTTACTTAATCCATTTGTTCGGGTACTCCTGTTCGAGTACAAGCACCGCAACAGCAGTGACAGTTTGATCTCCCACACTTATGGCACGGACCTCATCAGAGCAACTCTTCTCATCAGGCTGGTGCCTGCAAGAAGGGGGGCGATGGTTTCATCTAGGTGGATGTAGGCCCCCCTCCTGGGAATGCCTCTACTGTAGCGGGAAGGGGAGGACGTGTATATAAAGGGCTTATCCCCCCGTCGTCCTCAAATCCTTTTGGTCCCCGGTGGGCATGATTGCCCATGGATTGTTCACGATGCTTCCCGCCGGGGGCGTTGGGATCTCTCCGGTGATTTCCAGCGGTGCTGCAGGTTTACGAGAGCATTGTTTGCCTGCTTCCCCATCTCGATCCCCGCTTCCCGCTCCTGTTCACCCCATCACTATTCTGGCTATCTACCCTCCCCCCACTCCACTCCCCAAATTGACGAGGCTACCTTACCCCACTCTCCCTCTCGTCTAACAAAACACAATTCTCTGCTGCATAGATGCTCTTCGCTCACCACCGCAGGCTGTCCGTATCTTCCCCATTGTTGGAGAGTCGACATCGAGCCATCACCCGCCCACCTGCATTCATGGCATACTAACCAGTCCTCTCCCTTCAATGCTTCCTCTACCTTGACAGCGATATGCCTACTCGCTCTCGTGCATACCCACCCTCACCCCTGATACTAGCATCTCGTCCTCCCCTCCTGCCGTTTTTTTCCCCCATCTACCATACTCCGGCACCCCCTGGCAGCCTTTCATGTTTTGAACCCTTCTCGAAAATCTTGCGACACGCCCTTCCAGCCGAGTCGACACAAAACGACAGGTCACATTCCCCTTAGGTTTCATGTTGGCATGGGTGGCCAGCATTGGCGCTCGCATCCCTGACATTGCGCATTCACAAGGATTAGGGTTCTCCCGCGTGGTTGCTGCGAGATGGACTTGGCGGCGGTTGGGAGATGGAGACAGCCAGGCAACATCACCGGGATCAGCCTCCAGGGTGCGGCGCGTACGGCTATGTTTGAGGATTGATTGGGCGGTTCGGAGATTTGTTCCTATGGGTCAGGGGGGGGGGGGGGGGGTGGGAAGTTGCCGATGCCGGTTGGGGGAGACCAGCTGGGGAGCCCTGGGATCTTGCGAGCTGCTAGGGTTCTGAGAATTTCCGGAAGAATCTGGGGTCATGACTGTGTACCGTCTGTGGTTATGCTTGGAATTTGTGTTTCAGGAATGGCATGGAGGAATGTTGGTTAGGATTTCTCCTGTGGAATAGCGGTTCTTGGAGATATTGAGATATTGTGAAATCACGGCTGAGGTGCTGGAGGATTTTGCGGGAGCATTGCATGGAATGGCGAAATAATCAAGATAGACGCTAGTTTTTTCTACGAAAATTGTTGGTCCTTCATTCAATAGGGAAAGCGCAGCACGCCGCGGAGCGCAGGAAGTGAGGAAGTGATTCACAAATTCCATTGGGAAAAAGCAATCATATGTTTCGCCTCTCGGAGCTCCAACTCCACAAATCGGGCGACGAAAGCCCGACCCAACAGTGAGGAATGCCGGCGTATGGAGGCCCATCACACGGGGTAATCCCACGGCAAGATCCCTGCTGGCACAAGTATATTCCACACGAATCATAGATAACACAATCATGCCACACATAACGAGGTCGCCTCGCCAAAAAAACCCAACACTACCGGGCACGCTGCAGAGTCCCGCCAATCGCTCTTTCTCCATCACTTCCCCACCCAACCGCACCAACTGCAGCATCTCGCCCCCGCTGGGAGTGGTGGGAAAGGTTGGAGAAGACAACTCTCGGCGAATTAATGGTATCCTGGTGACCGGGACTGGTGTGCAATGAGTTAAGCCATCAAAGCGGTGCAGGTTGCAATTGTTGGTAAGGATTCGGTAGACAGGGCTGCCACCAACCGTCCCCTGGGGTGAAAAAGCCTCAATTATTCGGGCTTAGCGTGAATGCAAGTGTGGCTCGTGATCTTGTGCTGAGCAGCTTGCAGGCTTGTCTTGTGTGGAGGGCGGTCTACAGCAGCATGGATCTTGATACGAGTACAGTACTCGTACGGCAGGATATTGTGAGGTGTCTGGGCTTTGTGCATGGGTAATCACTCGGGGCTGGTTATCCGGATCGGAGCTGTTTGCCACCCACCGGTGGAGAGCTGATTGAGGGGCTCACGCGAGAATTGGGGATTGACTTAAGCTTCTTCCGCGGCGTTTCCCGGCTGTGATTCATAGCGGCAAGCTTTACCGGTAGCTGGAATGAGCACTTTGTGGGGGTTGTTGTCGTTGCCTACATTACCGTACTCGCAGGTTGCCGCGGTTTCCCCAACATTTTCACCATCACGAAATAAGTTAGTCTCGGCTCGGGCGGCAGGTGACATGACAACAGCCTGAGGTTTCCTTTCCTCTCCCCCTTCAACTCTCAGCCCCGTACTCGAGTAGAAGCGGATTACTCGTCCAGCAACCCAGCTCCCGTGCACTCCTCAAGCGCGATGCTCCACGGTAGGCGGACCGTTTCTACCCGTCGATCCGTAGAAAGCAGTCGGGCGGCCTGCTGGAATAGAGGTATCCGGTCCCGGGATTGAAGCATTTAGAGAGGTTATTGGGGTTTGAGGACTTTGGTGTGTCTGCATACTGGTTCTGTGCTAGTACGAGTACCCAACAGGTATTGTACATGCCTGGAAGATCCACTCGAGGCTTGGCACTCGGGCAACGCCTTTTTGCCCCTTGGGCCTAGATGACTCTGCTGCAATCGCTATCACAAACTTGAAGGCCACCCGTCGGATAAACCAATCTGAAACGTCTCAGCGCTACTTTTCCGCTGTGCCCGTGCATAATCTTATCAGATGCTGAGTGAATTGATCTGCTTTGGCCAGGGATACGGTGGAACCCCGGCTGGGCGCGTAAAGTGACACACCGTGCGCGCAACGATTGCAGGGATTCCCAGCCTGGCTAGCCATGGCTGGGTCCGGTGTGTCGTCGCGTTATCCACTTGCATGCATGAGCAATCCGGCAGGGGGAAGTCTCTGCTCGTCCGCCTTCTGGTTGGCTGGGATGACGGAATGCAGGGTGGGGAGCGGCAAGATGCGTATCTTAGGGTATGGGGCTTTTACTTCGAGTGATTCATTGTGTCCTTCACATGGTGTGCCGCTACCGGTGCTAGTCACTACTCTTCCCTCATTCTGACCACATCGTTTGGTAGTGCCCTCCTGTACCGATACCGGTATCAGGGAGTCCTCTCCCCAGGAGCAGAGTTGGCTGCTCTCAGGTAATCGTGATGCCAGGGCTACCGGCAATTTATCCTCGGCTTGTGAATTTCATGATTTCGATTTCTCCGAGGATATCGTGTCGTCACGTATATATAATCAGGGTTTGCTGTTAGCAAGCTGTTTATCCCCTTGATCCGCCCTCCCCCATTCCCCACGATTCCCCTCTTTCTGAACTCTCCCGAAAGGTTTCACGGAATAGGCTTTGTATTGTTATGTCTGGGTTAGACCGTCGAACGAGTAACTCTTCACAGACGAGCAATTCTCCACTCTTGCCGCGCTCCAACGCTGATGGCACTCATGGGTGGAGGGATGTGCTCGAGAACAAGATGACCTGGGCGTATGTTTTGACCCTATGACCTTTGGTATGCGGTGCTGATTGGGGAAAGGTGGTACGCGAGCATCATGTCCTCCGGGGGTGTGGCCTTGATACTATACTCTATTCCGTACGGGTTTCGCGGTCTCTGGATTTTGGGTATGCATGTATTCCCTCTGGGAGTCATTTGTCGGTGTTGATATCCAACCAGGAGGAATAATCTATATCGCTTCATTGGTTGGCTTCGTTCTTCTTCTGGCAACCCACATTGTCCGGTTTTTACTCAACCCCAGGCTCATACGCGCGAGCGCTGCCCACCCATCGGAAGGGCTCTTCGTCTCCACTTTTGCGGCGGCCCTAGGAATCCTGATCATCGATGGAGCAACTTATGCCGAGAAAATGCACACGGCGCACGGGACCGCGCTCAGGGCTTCATTCTGGATTTTCCTCGTTGTATCCGTTATCTTTAGCGTTGGGAGTCCATTGGCGCTGTATGCCCCTCTCCCCGTTCCCCTCTAACTGCCCCCTGGCTCAGTGGGTTGACTTGCGGACTATAGATTTTCGGGGGCACCGCACGCTGAGCAGGTATGGGTTGTTCCATTCTCCTCCTTGGTTTTGCTTACTGATCCCTAGTAGGAGGCTACACCGTTAGCTACGCAGACCGTCCTGCCACTTACGCTCGTCGGCTGTGTGGCGGCTACAGTCGCTGCTCACATTAGTATCCACAACCACCACATCGCCATGCCGATAATCTACATGGGTATTGCAGTCCAGGGGATGGGGATACTTGTCTCACTGCTCGTATTACCCCCTACTTCTTCCGCACCTGCCCATCTAACATCCCTCAGTCTCTATCCAGCTTTGTCGACAGGCTTTACCACTGCTCGGTGCCCTCCATTTCACAGAGACCATCGATGTACGTGGCGGTTGGCCCACCCGCCTTCAGCGCACTTTCCTTCGCCCTGCTGGCAGAGCAGTGTCTACGACACTTCCCAGCGGAAAAGACCGCGCCGGGTGGAGCCAATGAGATTGTCGGGGGAGTAGCACTTTATTACATCCTGCTCACCTTCTCACTCATGTTCTGGGGCCTGTCGCTGTGGTTCTTTTTGATCTCGACGTGCAGCACTCTCGCAGTATTGGGTCAAATGGGTATTGGCGTTCAGAAGCTGCAGTTGTTTGCTTTGATCTTCCCCAATGGTTAGAATTTTTAGCATCCTGGGGGCTACCGCTTACTAACACGGTTACAGTTGGGTTCGCTCTTGCTACCATTCACTTATCCAGACTCTTTGGTCACCCGAAAGTGCTCGCAATCATCTCCGAGGTGCTATCGTTGACGGTGGTCGGCGCCTGGGCTATCGTGGTCCTGGCTACTTGCTACGGAGTTTTGTCGGGAAGGATCTTTAGGACGGTTTAAAGGGGATTTGAAAGAAAAAATTGATCAGAGAGGGGAGTGCGATGTGGAGATGGCTTGTGGTGTATTTGTACATAGATGACTAGTTTTGTCTTCGCACGCCAGGCTTTTTCTGTTCCTTTGTTGCTTGCTTAATCATGGATACTCACTCGCTGATTCAGGGGGTTTTGTGGATGGGGTGATGGTTGAGATTTGTGAATGATTGTGTGATATTGTAGCAATGCTAGTTCAATACTTCCATACATAGTGGACACTAGGCACAACGAGCACTGCCTTATGGAATCCTCTGAACTACTGTTTAATACTACATAACAATGGAGACGAGTCAATAAAAGGTGGGAGTTCGCTATGCCGGCCGCTCGGTCTATAGGGAAACATTGTGCTCCTTATCTGCTAGAAGTCGTTATACGGAAGCATACTTGAAGTACACTCTAGTAGGCAGCCGACTACACAACAGGACCTGACATGTCCACCCTGCCGAACCAGATACCTAGAATCTGCGAGATTTTTTACCAAGACCGCTTTAACCATGACCGAATACTCACCATGAATTACCCATCCCATCCTGCCCATACTTATAACTAGCTATAAAGTTTCTTGCCGATAGACTACTCAGATCTCTGGAACGCATCATCTGGGGCATTAGTTAGGCGACAAGGAAACATCGGACAGAACACGCCTTCATCCACCCGGAGTACCTTATCAGTGAAATCGCTTCTATATCAATTTCCCCTGCTAGATTTTTTTCGCCATCCCCTCGAGTGGGGTTAACTCCGGATCCGGTCTCGGGAGGGGGGACTTTCTGTCGCGGAGATTGTTTGGAGAGGGGATCCCCTCTTGGCACGAACGTATCTGGTATCATTGGAGAGATTGGGGGAGGGAAATAAAGGACCTATGGCTGGTTTGGATGAAGGGGGGCGTCGTGCTGAGCTTCGCCGCGGGAAGCAGTGGTGACACTGAGTTCCGAGAGAGGGTCAAGAAAACCCGGCGTCTGTTTGTAAGGTGTTGTGATGGATTTGTGGAGTATCGTACTGTACTCGTAGCGTGGGGGGTGGCCATGAAAGGGCTTTGGATTTGCTTCTGTGTGTGTGTAAGAAGTGGGGGTGTGTGGGTTAGGCCGAATGTACTGGTAAAGGTTTTTAGTTTATGATAGATCAATCTTTTCCAAATTTTGGGGCGGCGTTGGTGCTCGACTTGTCGGTCGTGGATATCGTACGATGGCGGAAGATCGGGAATTTTGTAATTGATGATGTGTGGGGAAGCTGAGGGATGTGGGATGTTTTGTTCTGCGATGATAACTAACCCGTATTATTTAGATAAGTTGCTTCTATATTGAGGGGACTAGGTTCTTTTCATGGTGCTGAGAGGGTGGGGGCTTGTTATCTGCGCCACTGGGGGGTGGGATAAAGGGTTCAGGGGCTTGGGGTGCTATCACGGGGTCATGTAGTATCACTCCGAATTCATCCTCTGCTATACAGTATGGGGGGGGGGGGGTTACGCCAGGCCGGTGGGGGGTGCTAGCGCCGTACTACCTGCTGTGCTACTTGACCCATAGAGAATTATGAAGTATTATATCGGTATATGCAGGCTTTTGAGTAAGATCGAATATAGCTCTCGGCACTCTGTAGCAAATTTTATTAAGAAACAAGAAGCAGCCATTTCTGCGTGACGGAACCATCGGAAGCCATGAATTGTCACTAAACTGAACTCGACTGGTGGGGCCTGCCATGGGACGAGCTGGGTTGAATAACCGTGAGGACTATGTGGAGAGCCGGAGAAAGGCTGTTATGACAATGCTATGTGTGTGGCGGATGGCGGGAGCCAGCGTACTAGTGCTGTGAGAGGCAGTGGTTTCAGCATGTCATTTGTGCGGGGTTGCTAGGCTAACGCTCCGGGGGAAGACTAACTTTCCTGGACAAAAAATTGATTTGGTTAATGCTAGCACTGTGCTCTGATTTTCTACTTGTACGATATTCCGTAATATGTTTAGACTGGTATATGAGGAAATTGAAATATTATCTGTCCTTCGGTTCAAGACAGTCTGTTACTAGGTTAATCGAGCAGAATTCATGGAATTCCTAAGGGCCGAAGACAGCTTCTATTTTTATTGCTAGGATCTCAATAGGGGAAATATGTGCTATGGCGTTGGAATCCGGCTTGACTGCTACGGGCAGAAACCAATAAGCCAACTACCCTCAGCTGTCTCGGAGCGAAAGGAATATACGTTGCGCTTTCCTAGGAGAGGAAGTTACCTGCTCTCACACACTCTTGAATTTTACCCCTTGCGGTGCAAGCCTACCAAGGATGTTGCTGGTCGCGGTATATTCGAAAATAATGGTTCTCCTGGTAGTGAAATTTCAATCCCGAAACCATTTGGAAGTGGTTTGGTCCTCTCCAAGAGTAACAATCGCTAGAAACTCTGCTGTTTTGGTGGGAAATTAGAATATCGCCACCACATTTCCTTACTTATTTCATTGCTGGAAGCGTGTTGGATAGCGGGTCACTATTCGCTCAATCCATGCGCGCACAAAAGGGAGGGAAAAGAACACAGTAGATGCATCACCACTGGACGGAAGAGGGAAAGTGATAAGATACGGCCCCTCACATGAGTGGGAATAGATTTTGTCTACTCATTAGACAACCCACTATCTCATTGTTCTCCTGTCCCCGATGACATCCTTGAAATCCTGCAATCTATCATAGCCGGGCGTGACAACAGATGGTATTACTGTCTATTGGGGGGTTGGCCGGTAAGAAAACCTCCTGGATTCTCGAAAAGAGACTAATCTTGCTAAATGGAATTATGTTTATGGCCTTAAATTCTCTGACTCCCATGGCTTCACAGTGTGCGGGGTGTAGATACCGCCCCTGTTAGTTCCCTGGGATGACTATAGGACTTATCTCGCCTCCGGGTTTCCCGGTTGGTATGGTCTCAGGGTTGGGTTGGGAATCGACTAGCTTGGACTTAGGCAGGTAGTCAATTCACAATATGAATATCATGCAAACCATTCTCGAGTGAGTAACCATGAGAACCCCACGCACAAGACACTACCCCTTGCTCTCGGGACCCGTATTCGGTATAACCCCCCCCCCACACAGTCGAATTATCAATGAAAATCCAGAAATAAACCGGGTGAGGGCTCAGCGAGGCAGCACCCTCAGCGAGGCTCGGCATAGCTTGGCTAGTGTTGGCTAGCTACTAGCATCATCGCAATATGAAATTATAGTGATGTGATAGTGATGTGAAACCACAGCAACACCGAAGCAGAACCAAACTTCTATCCTAACGTGAACTGTTTTGAAATCGTTCTTTTTACCATTCCTTCAAATGATGTTTATGCCCTCCAATGCCCCATCCCGAGTTCAAGAACAGATGGCTATTGAGATGGTAGCCAACAAAACTGTCTCAAGCCTTGCTACAGCAGCTGAAATGGTTGGTGCTGCTCCAAGCACGGTTATGCATCACCGAAGAGGTCGGAAAAGTCGGGAGGAGGAGAGCTCTTGTCGCCAAAAGCTTACTCCAGAAGAGGAAAATACTGTTGTTAATCGCTGCTACTTTCGCTGTCGTCTGGGGTTTCCTGCAACAATTTGGCAGCTTCGAGATATCGCCTTATCAATTGTTCAGAAGAGAAATCCTGATGAAGTAATCGGAAGACGATGGGAGACCGGATTCATGAAAAGACATCCTGAAGTAAAGTCTCGGTTTAGTAAAGAGTATGACTTTCTTTGCAATCTTCGTGGAAATGATGTAGGATTGATGAATAGGTTCTTTGATGAGGTATTACCATTTATTTTATATTATGTTGCTTATTTAAACTTTTTTTTTTTGTTATTAATAAGGAATTTTAAAATCCAAAATCTTTATCCTAGTTTAGTTTGTTAACATATTTATTTAGCTTGAGTCCATAGTCTGCGAGTATCAGATAAAGCCAGAAAATACCTATAACATCGATGAAATTGGATTTCTATTAGGTTTAGGACAGTCTGAAAGAGTGTTAGAAGTGATTCGGAACCCGCGAGAAAATGGTGAACTTAGGTATCGGGCCCAAAGTAAGTTTAATATATCATTCTAAATTCATTTTAAATTTAAACTATTTACTAAAAGAAAGTACAAAATAGATGGCAGTCGAGAATTTGTTACAGTCATTGAAGGTGTTTGTGGTGATGGGACTTTTTTAGATCCAACGATTATCTTAAAGGCGGAGGATTTTATCGCAGAGTGGTTTAAAAAAGTCAAGGGTGTACCGGAAAATATCCTTTTCGGAAAATCCCACAATGGTTGGACAGACGAGAAGATGGCGATGAAGTACCTGGAACGAAATTTTGGTCCTACAAGTGAATCTTCAGCAAAGGCTACCGACGAATACCGCTTATTGTTGTTTGATGGACATAGTAGTCATGTTAATCGCCACTTTTTGGACTACTCTATCGAAAACAAAATCATTCCTTATTGTTTACCTCCACATACTACCCACCGCCTGCAGCCACTTGATGTCTCTATTTTTAGTCCTTACAAGCATCAATATCAGCAAGAACTTACACGTCGATTTGAGAAACACGAATATGGAGTATCCAAAGCCAACTTTTATGAGATTCTAATGGCTGCCCGCCGTGCCTCCTTTACAGCAAAAAACATTTATAGTGGCTTTTGGAATACAGGACTAATTCCTGTTGACCGAACAATTATTCTCAACAAAATCCAACCATCTAAGTCTCTGCAAATCTCTCCTCCTTCAAGCTCTCCTGATACAGTTATCCAATCTCCTTCCTACTGTTCAAGTTCTATTCCATGCCCACAACCACTTTCCACTCTGACAGCAGAGGAAGTCAACAGCCTTAAAATCCCATTGACCAAGGATGAAATTGAACACCAAAGTTCAATTGCCTTTGCAGCCCTTCCGACCAATGATCCCGTACCGTGGGGCTTGAAAAGAATTGTTAGCAACATTACGATAAGTGCAGTGCGAGCACTTACCCAGGTGGAAGACCAAGAACTCCGAATTGAGAACCTTCGAAAGCAGTTAGCCAATATACAAACGAAAAAGACTGCCAACCGAAGCCGAATACCAACTCATGGCAAGTCCTGGGTTGATCGTGAGGACATAGAGGCATTCTTTGAGTCTCAAACACGCGAGGCATACGAAACTGCGAAGCGTAAATACCTAAATGCAGAAAAGCTTGTAGCAAGCCGGAAAGATAAATTAGCTGAATGTACACGGAAACGAAAGAAGGCTGAGAGGTTGGAGGAGGAGGGAAAGCTACCAAAGCGGCGAAAGAAAGGAGCGGAACTCCTTACCGAAGAAGGGCGTTTATTACAGCAAATTTTGGAGGCAGAGTGGGACGTTAGGAAGCTCGAAAAGCATATTGAAGAATTAGCAGGAAAGTTACCAGTTTGTATTGAAGGAGGGGAACAAACCGGTGAAATGGACCCAGAGCCTAGAGAGTCTAGAGATACCGGGCACCTAAGAGGGATAGGAGATGACATAACTCCTACCCCTGAGCCAATGGTGTTGGAAACCTTTGTAGATTAACAGTGGTTCGAAGAGGAAGAAGAGGAAGAAGGATTCACTCGTTGATAACTATGTGCTCCAACTTGGATGACACACATGGCGTTGCTGCCAAGCCCATGCCAAGCCTCGCTGAGGGTGCTGCCTCGCTGAGCCCTCACCCGGTTTAATGAAGGCTAAAAAACTCTTCCTTCTCACCAACAGAGACAAAAAAACACTAATCGGAAAACAATCTTCCCCCAAGACTCATGCGATTCATGAATATAGAACAGGCCACATTCTAGCCACAAGGGCCCTTCAGTACACCGCAATTGTACTGGGGGCCATAGTTACAGCTTTTCCACTAGGCTCACACCTATACAAGCTCCCCTCGCACAGCCGTTGGTTGGATGGGCATGAAGCCAGAGGCGTTGCAGTACCCGCAGTAGCTCGCGTCTCTATACCCGGTGTTGCAGTAGCAGCCGTCACTAATACAAGCGCGCTTTGACAGCCCGCTAACTCCTTCGCCGAAGGGGTTTCCCATTGCCGAGATGTGAGTGAATGATAGGAGCATGGCCAGAACAGGAATAAACTTCGGAATCACTGGGGGAGGGTTAGCAGGGATTATCTTCATATGGGGTGTGATATCGGATTGAGAAAATTACTTAGGATTGATTTTGAGGGCCTGTGCAGCTAGTAGTGGTACTCTCTGTTTTCTGATTGGAGATGAGTGATCAAGAATATCTACTTCGAGTTTGA